TCGTTTATGTCCCCCTCAAACTGTTGAAGTACCATCTTGGGACCTGGCGATATTACCAACAAACGACAGGTGACCACCCTTCTAGAAGGTCACAGGTCAAACGCACTTCAACCTAGAACACTGCAAAAACCTACCAGTTGATTGTTGTACTCCACCTGTTTCCTTCCAAAACGAAGCACCCTAGACTCATTTTTCTCAGGGTGGCGCAGTTGGCGTGGCGCGTGGGGCATTCCACCACAGCGCCGCCTGGCCGAGATCAAGCCCTCCCTCCCCCAAGCCCCCCGAAAGCCTGTGGCTTGCTCCAGGCGGCAGCTTTTAGGGTCTGATGTTGGGAAAGGAATGGGGCGCGACGCAAAAAGGCCCAACTAAACAGAAGGGGCTGGTGGGCATTATTTAACTCGTGAATGAAGGAGGAACATCGAGGAACGATTTAGAAGCTTGCAAATGGAGAAGACAACCAAAGGCCACCGAACACGCGTGGCGGCATCACAAGTCAACTGATCCTTTGGCAAGGACTGCTTCGGCGGAAACAACGGATTGTCAGCTTCCACAGGGTTGAAATATTCAAGGTCACACCAAACTGCAAGCAAGACTTGGGCTTTCTAATTCCAGGATGTGTTTGCTTCACGGATAACTCTTTTGGGCTTCCTCAGAGGGAAATCCAAGCAACAACTTGGCAACCCTGAACCGATGTGTATATAGATATATGTGTACTTGAACACTCGCCACTCTAAGACAAAGAGCAGCGACTAACGCACACTGTGTCTCTGATCTGCGGGCCGCCATCAAGCCTCTCAAAATCCGTGGCGACGCAGCAGCAGCAGCAGCAGCAGAAGAAGAAGTAGTAGTAGTAGTAGTAGTAGTAGTAGTAGTAGTAGTAGTAGCAGTAGCAGTAGCAGTAGCAGTAGCAGCAGTAGTAGCAGTAGCAGCAGTAGTAGTAGTAGCAGCGCATCCTTTTGCCAATCCGCTCAGCCAGCTCTCTAGGAGAAGCGTGTTTTGTCGAACCACTTTGAGGGATCGGATGATTGACAACCCTCCTCATGTCCGAGCTAAAGCTGTGCTTGTATGAGGCCTGCATGGCGATCAAAGCCTCATTTGGCATTGAGCGGACAAGCCTTCCTGAGGCTGTTGCGAAGGTTTTTTCTCTCTGAGTATTGGTCTTGATGGCTCTCAGAGAATGAGGGAATGACCCCTGTAAACCATCCCTCTAAGGAATCCTGCACTGTTCCTCCAAAACACCCTGTTGATTCCCTACTAAGACCGCGCAAGTTATTGCAAAACTAATACGCGGGGCACATCTGGGTTACGAAGACAATCACATCGTCTGACTCTGTTCCCCATTTCGGGTGCCCCCCCCCCAACACATGACATAGTTTTAGAGTCGGGGTCCTTCAGGGACCGTGGGTGAGTCTAGTTCAACCGTGAGCTCGCCTTGGCAACTCTGTCTTCAATGCTGCTGACAGGAAAACCAAAAAAATATGATCCGAAACAGGAACGTGAAGAAATATCGGGGCCAAACCCGAAGCCAGGTTGCAACATCCTCGAGGCTTGCAATCTAGCACGCGACCACATGCCAGTTTAGTACAACACCTGGGGACCCGTCCGAACCACTGCTTCCACTATTGTTTAGATTCGACACTGTACCCAAAGCGTGCCTAGTACTGATACCACCCTATCTAATTCCAGCTCTACGTATGGCTGCCTTTAGCCACAAGCTGGCGCCAACAAGTCGTTGAGTACACCATTCGTGCTGGATCATGCAAAAGCAGCCACGTGTGTGTGTGTGTGTGTGCTTCGCTCAGTAATCCATGAATCCTTGAAAAATCACCTACTGGTCAAATCAATCAAAAGCTATGCAGGGTGGACATCTTGAGCCAGCGGTGCCCATTCTTTTGACATCACCCGTTGGGCCCGGAACCCTGTCTGCATGCCTCAAGAGCTTATTTCGAGGGACAGTTCATGGGCGTCATTTTGATGGTGATCGCTTCCAATATTGGTTGGTTCTGAAGGCAAACCAAAAACAACTCAGCCATCATGCTACACCCACATCAGCCTTTAGACTCGTTCCAAGTAGTTGTTCCAACCATTTCTTTGGGGCTTCCCTTTCCACACAAAGCACCACCCAATGGGATTCTGAACCCAAAGGACCCTTGGACCCTTGGGGGAATACGGATCCCCTGAGCGCACGGCCCAGGTCGATGCCCTCAAAGGACCTGGCAGCGTGTCGGCACATGGCAGGAAGCAGGCATGTGTTGACAAATATCACAACTGCTATGTCTTACGCATTTCAGGGGCTTCCAAAGCAGGGAACCATTTTGCCAAATCGTCCAATACAGCATGTGGGTTTGTTAATTGGCCGGGGATCAGCTGTTGTGTAGTCGAATCGAATTGCTCATGCGCCACTAGCCGCAGTGGAACAAATGACTAGCACAACCAATCTGAGCAGCAGCAGCAGCAGCAGCAGCAGCAGCAGACGACTGAAGCATGTAACAGCAGGCAGCAAAAGCAGCAGAACCTGCAACAGCTTTCTTGCAGATTGCACCAGCAGCATCGCGCACACAGACAAAAGGTATTAAACACTCGAGGTGTTGTGATCCTCCTCGGCCAATTGCGGCTCTTGATGATTTTATTTGGCCTGAGGTCCCCCGAATGGGGGTTGGTGAATGAGCTAATTTCGCGCAAATGCCATGTCAAATCGAAAATTCAATGAACGCCTTTTCATGGCTTCTCCAAATGCCGCAAAACTTCCATTGACAACTTTGGCGTCGGGTGCCTCGGATACACCCTCCGACTCTATTATTTGGTTAGTTATCCACATATTTCTAGGACGCACTCAATTGAACATGCATTGACAGAAGCAGAAAGAGAACGCTAATTCATGTACAGCTCTTTCCTTTTGCATCGGCTTGACTGTTCAGATTTTGCGTTTGCCGAATGGAAATGCCACGTTCCATGTCTTGCTTGCCTTTGAACCGGACAAGTGTGGCTTCGCCCAAGGTGCCCTTTACCCTTTGCCATGGGAGCAATGCTCTAGACCTACGATGATCAGGGTTAAAGGGTGCCCTTTGTAAAGTCCCTTGACCCTCACGGATTGAAGTCATCAACTCCGGAAGGCGAGTTGACATCATGCCTACACGCCATAGTCTTCCTGACCCTGAAAGTGAGATCGAGTCTCGGGCTCTTTCTGATCCTTCTCCGAAACTCTGCGGAACCTCGGCGCTTCGCTTTGAACCGTTTGCATTGCCTGCTGTGCTTAGCAGTATTTGAGACTCGGTACCTTGTTTGTCTTGTCTTGCTTTTTTGTGTTTTTTTTGGGGGGGGACGGGTGGTCGTTTTGGGAGGGACCTCAGTTCTTTCGCATACCCACCTGGAGTCGGGGGATAGAGGTGCTTTTGCTCGTTTCCGAACCTTTCACCTGCGAGGGTTAAGCGTTTCATAAGGAGCCATGGGTGGTGACATGTTGTGCAACTGAAGAGGCTGGCAGTTTTGATCAAAGTCAGTTGAAAATAAGGACCGGTTAGCACCAATCGCTCTCTTTCCAGTTTCAATAGTTTTCAAAGGACCAGATAGTTCTCATGCCTTTCCCAACTCACCAGCAGTCAAACTACTCTTGGCAACACCAGCCGCTGGAAAATCAAACACATAACTATCCTTTTTGAAAGCAATCAGGTGGAGCGGTTGCTCAAATGCAAAACCCATTTCCTCTTGGATCTACTAACACGAATGTAAAGGTTTATAGGCTTGTGCTACAAGCTCCATGAAACAAGGTAGCAACCTAGTAACATGGCCCTTTCGCTGCTCAGGTGTTCCAAAGTTACAATCGCAGAGACCCTTTTGGGTTAGCCCCATTTGCGTGTTGACAGCGGCGTTCATCCACGTCAAGCACGAGGCTCTGGCAAGTAGTACGGGCCAAAGCGCACATACGCCTGGACAAAGTGGGTGTGGGCTTTTGTCGTGAAATAGTGGACCCCTCAGACTTTGTTTCTTTTAAGAACGCCCCCGCCCCAAGCAAAACCCGAGCCTCATCAAAAAGACATCCCAATGTCTGCGTAATTTATCAAGCGGGCATGAGCAACGAGGCCATGGTTGTGGAAAGTCAGGCACTGTTCATTTGATTGTTGGTCATTTGAGGAGAGCCACTGCAAGCATCTCACTCACAGTTGCAACCTCCGTGCTCCGCAACATCTCTAACTACCCTTGGCAACACAAGGTGGTCGGAGAAGTTTGCGTTACACATGTCTCCACAAGGAACACTCGAACTGTTGAGAACAGACAAACATGGGTGCGTGTCTGTTTGCTTGAGGCTCGGCACCCTATTCAGGTTGTTTCAGAGGGAAACCGCAATGACAGGAGAACCAACATCCATTGGGTCCATTCCCTATCTTGGCACATACCCGCGTGTTTGCCACTCCTTGGCCAAATCTGGGGTACAAACAAAAATGCACCTTCAGATTCTGCTGCGTATTTAGTCGACTCTAAAGAAAACATATTTTCAGAGGAGAGCCCAGTGTTTCCTCAGATCTCCGGTGGCCTGGTTCGCGCTGTACTTGCGGCAAAGCTGTGCAAAGGTGTCCTGCACGAGGTTCCCGGGGCTGATTTGGGCGGGCAAAGCTCATGGTGTACGGCTCTGCAGATTGACATGGCATGGGCAAACTAAACAGAACATGGCTATGAACGTGTCTTAGAACCTGATTCAACCCAAAAGGCATCATTTCTAGAGGAAAATTCTTTTGAACCCCCTCCTTTTTTGTGTTCCACGTTGATTTGCAGGGCAAGAGGGCTTGGATTTTTGTTGGGCTCGGGCTTCAGTCTTTTGCCTCAACTATGTTTGATGTGGACCCCATCAAGGGTGGTTGCAAGCATCACCTTTTGGGCCTATTTAGTTGATGAGCTTCCCAGAAGGGGGGATGTTGGAAGCTTACATCGGAATCTGTATATTATACAGAATTATACAAATCAGGCACTGTTGAAGGGTATTGTTTTTGGTGTGCCTTTTGCCTTTTGGTTTTGCAGATGGATATCGCCTTTGGCTTTGGGCAACCTCTCCTTCCACCTTCGGTCTTCACTGTGACTCGCGTAGCTACTACTGCATGTTTTGTCTATCGGGGTTCCACGTTAGTAGAAGCCCGTTGTGTGTGTGTGTCTGTGTGTCTGAACTGACCCATGAAGTGCCAGGTAAATGAAACCACGACGGAAAAAGGAAACCCACAGAACTTCCTAAAAGTCATGGTCATTCCCCCAGAACCCAGGGAAATGTTGGGAGGTTCTATGTTAATCCGTTCCACCCAACAATAAATGCCCCATCCACCCCTGGCTTCAAAGCGGAACGACATCTATTATTGGGGTACAATGAGGTTTGTTTGTGATGAACAGGAACCTTTCAGAGACTCACCTCTGGCACAAATGCAGGTAACGTAGAAACTCCCTGCATGGAACCCAAGCCAGGCTGAACGGGGTACTTTCCCTGGGAAAGGAGATCGATCCTTCTACAAGTGACTCCCTAGATTTGTGTACAGTTTCAGTTGAGCTGTCAAAACCTAGCAACGCACTCACCACCTACTCCGCTACTTGGGGTGGTTTCCCTAGGGCAGAATGCCAAAGGGGGATTAAACCTTGCCAGAGTTTACTCCTCTTGATGGACTCAGTGGGAGATAGCCCAGGCACCCACCACTTACTGGGCTCCACGACTGGGGTCATTATTTTGATCGTTTCTAGGGGTCGGAGTCAGAAAATGGGGTTGTGTCCCTTCAATCCATCACTTAGGGAGTGACTTTGATCATGATAAAATAATGAGGCCAGCACGATGTTGCTTCAACTCTGACATAGCCCCTGGGGCCCTCTGAAAGCCAGTCCTCCACAATGAACAGCGCAGGCAGGTCGTGCTCGCTTTTGCCCCTGGCTGGTGGTTTCCAAGAAGCAGGTCAGAGCGGGAGCTGAAAGGGTGATTGCTAAAACAAGAGCATGCCACTGTCCCTGATAATCCTTCCGGTTCTCAGTTGGAATTACAAGGGCTTTGGGAATCAACCTAGGGCTCCCCTTAGGAAAGTACATGGGATGGCTGCTGGGCGGCATTCCTTCATCCCTTACTGAGAACCAACCAGCAAGGAATGCCAGGATCTAATTTTAAACAACTGGTGCCCTTTTCGCTTTCCTCTAACAAAGCAGCAAACTGGGAATATCTTTAACACATGCTCAGAGGTGAACACACCATCAAGCTAATGCCATCCGAAGAGGTTTGAGAAATCGTAAGCCAAGGGGGGAACCGTAAAAATCAGCCGTTTTCCTTTGGTTTCCCCATGGTGACGAATTCCTACCCTAAGGGTTGCTCCAAAGCCCGAGGGTAGAGAAGTGGCACCTGACGTCCTACGACTTGGGATGTGGTCGTCGTTTACAGGCTCAAGTCCCTCAAAGGGGTTGATGACTCATCCCCAACCTCAAGTCACAAACGCAAGGGTCCAACAGGCCAGGTCCCTTGCGCAAGTGTCAATTTCCAGGGAAGCACCTCTCGCTTGGAAAGGTCCCTGCGCACTCCTCGCGGGAGGCACTCTGACTTCATTGAGTGCGTTCTGTCTTCCAGAGGTCTGTGCAGCTCCATGCTTATTGGTGGGAGGGTGCGTTCCCAAGCTTAGGACACGCTGCTTGTACAGGGCCAGATTCAATTAAAAACGGTCACCGGTTTGGTCGCCACGATGCAAAGCAATAGCACTTCACTGTCATGAGTTTTCCGGGGTCGAATCTGGGTAGGTTCACTGGTGCTTACCGTTGCTGTCCTGTCACCTTTGGCTATCCAAACAAGCTGGAAATGGAATTCGCTATGCTTTGACCAGCAACCAGTAAGAAATCAACAAGGGACCCTTTTGTTCCCCAACAGGGACGCTGTCTGGACCGCCACTGTATCGGACAAAGTGCCCTCACGCCTAGGAACCACCGGCCCGCAGGGCCCAAGGCGCGCCCCACGTTTCAGGCACCTCAAGCAAGCTGCGATGTGCCAAGCATTTTTCGGCGCTTCATGGATGTTTTTTTTTCATCATATTCCATGCAGGCCTTTCGTTTACGCCTGGCAATGTTGCTGGATTCCGCCTCAGCTAGCTACACTGTTGGTCTCATAACATCTTTAGATGACCTGTTGCATATTCCGCTTGCACATGTATTATATCTGTCTAAATTTGTGCTCATGTGAGAGACCCAGCACCCTAAATTCATGATACACTTACACAAGAAGGGTTATGTTGTACAAATATATATATATATATTTATATATATATATATGTAAGCACATATATATATATATACTTACTAGTGTTGCTACTATTATTGTTATTGTTATTCTTGTTGTTATTATTGCGATAATGATCATCATTGTTACTATTAGTATTATTCAACATTACTATCATTAGTATTGAGCATTATTACTATTGCTAGTACTATTATTAATAATAATAGTATTATCATTATGATGATGCTTATTATCATTATCATTATTATCATTATTGTGATTGTTGTTATTATTACTAGTATTGCTGTTGTTGATAATTATTGTTATTCCTATTGTGAATTATTGATATTATTGTTCTTATTACTACTATTAGAATTATCATTATTATGTTGTCTGCTGCGGGTCAAAGAACAATGATGGACATCCAAAAGGTCAACACGGCAAAATCACGGTTCAGTCTGGCAACGCATGAGCCATGGCATCAGGACCCCTACAGTTGGCTTGCTTCCTTCCTGGTTTCCTTTTGCCAACAATCCACATGGGCTCGATCCATTTTTGATGCTTCTCAAAATCATGTGTTTGGGTTTCCCTTTCAAGTGATACAAAGAAAGGGGCTCCCTAGTTTGAGGCTGACCCGTGTCTTGCGTAGCCAAGCCGTTTGCAGGGACCCTAGAACCCCCCCCCGACCGCCGCCACCAGCACCCGAAGGGTTAGGGGCCTAATAAGCCTTACGGCCAAATGAGGCAAAACAAAGCCTTCACCCAGTGGCCCAGTGACACAAATAGAAAAGGTGAGCCTTTGGGGATTGACCATCTTCAGTGGGGTGCTCACCAGCAAAGGAAGAAGGGGTACCGGTAAACAACTGGGTAAGGATTGCACCCGCTTCACTTGTTTTGTGCACTCACACAGAATCTCGTGGCTTGAGTGGGTGTGATTTCACAAACTGGCAGACTCAACAACGAGAATGAAGTGTGCAAATCCGAACAAACACTTGTTCAACACATGCCATCTTTATGTGATAGAAAAATCGAAAATCCCTCTCTGAGTGACATCCTCAGGTTGTCCTCTGAAATATGGTGTATGCGATTTTTCTCATTCAAACGCAACTTTGAGGCTTGCCCTCAAAGGGGACAGCACCAGAACCGAAAAGTAACTTTGAGGTTCCCCTCCAAACGTTCACAGCAGAAGGAACCTTTCATCGTACCTTGTATTCCGCCTCAAACATCACCACTACAAATCAAAGCTCACCTTAAACGAGCCAAACAAGGGATATTTCACAAACGGGGGAAGCATAGGGAAAGCTGCCGCCGGGTGCGGAGGGCTAGAATCGCCGAGTGTCCGTTGCTTCCAAGGCGCTCTTTGGCTCGGCGCCACATAAGCCCCAGCATCTTGCGGGTGGTTTCCCCCTCGCCGCGGAGAAGGTTCAGAAACCTGGCGGTGGTGTAACGGCCGCGCTTCGCGGCCCCAAAAAGGGAGGCCCCCAAAAAACAAGAAGTTGGGCTGTGCCACCCCTTGAGGCCGGAAGTAAGTAGCAAAATGAACATGGGGGAGCAACCTGCTTACAATACTAAAATGGAAACTGGTGGTCAAATGGAGCTGAACTGGGACTGGTCTCCCAGACCATCCAAGTTCAGCGATATGTTTCAAGCACTTCGTGGGTGTGCTTTCTTCTCTCTTTTGTTATGGGGGCAGGAGGAAAGAAAACTTCCTCTTGGACAACTTGTCTCGGGAACCCAACAGGGTTCTCACGCAGTTTAGAGATCCCGAAATTCACTTTGGAGGAAAGTAGCCCAAAGTCAGCACACCACCCATTCCGCAAAAATCCCCCGAAATCGTCCCTAGTCAGTCCTTCCCCGGTACCTGCAAATTTGTCTGTCTCTCTGCAAGATGTTCCTCGGCTGGCACTAAGTCGGACCGGTGCTCAAGGAGAACTTGCATCCTCAGCCAATCCTGATGAATCTTAAAATCATGCTAAAGGTTGATGCCTCTGTCTTGCCATCCATCGTTCGCTTGAGAATTCACTGACATTTCCTTGGTTTTGCGCATTCTCCGAAAATAAGGATCGCTGAACAGAATGGGGGACGTACAAACAGAATCATACACCGAACCCCTCAAAGAGCAACCCTGTCATGCAGTGATTTTGGCTCTCACACACACAAACAAACCGACCATTTTGGTGACTGATCACTTGATCCCTCACTTTGCCAGTGGCCGTCGGCTGTGGGGGCAAAGGCGGCGTCCCCTGTTTGTTGGCTGTTTGAAATCAAGAACACACCTACCCAAAAAGAAAGGAACACCAAATGACGATGGGAAACTACCAAACCCCCAAATCGGTGGCTGTCAGCTTTGTTCTGCTTCCCTCGAAACCAACTTCAAGACAGGCACCCTGAAAAAAAACAAACAAACACATGTTCAGCACATGGTGGGCGCCTTGAAACCCACCTCAAGATGCGTCCAACGAGAAACACATACCCATATAGTGAATACCTCGTGCTGCCTTGCCTCGCCGCACGCTCGCTGTCGGCGTTGAGCCAATGCTGGAAGGAGCCCTGACGTGCAACGAGACGCAACCACACCGCCAGGTGGATATGCCAGGCCCGGAGCAAGAGGTCAAAGAGGAGATGCCCTCCTCTGTCCTTGTCACCCTTATGTCACGGGAAAAAAGCGGATACCAGGGTCCCACAAAGCCAAAGGGGTATGAACGAGGGGAGTGAACTTCCCCTCTCAGACTTTCAAAGCAAGCGGGATGCTGGGGACTACCAGCATGGTTCGGCACAGAGCATACCCGTTTTGACGGTATTTGGTCGTTTTGAAGGGAGGCCATTTTGGGCTCTCCGCCTTTTGAATCGAGATAGGCCTCGGGCTCCCGGACCCGGCTGTGCGACTACCCAGAAAAGGATACAGAAATCCCAGAGCGGCTCCAGAAAATGAGACTTGCAACCGATGTATCAATCACATTGAGATACACACGAACAAATGGAGAAAATCATGCTTCCCCTGAGAACCAGTAAAACAAACCAACATTTTGGCGGCAGTCTTTGGTTGCTGCCTTCAACAAGACCTTTTGGAAAAATGAGCGTTTCCCCAAAATACCCCAAACTTCCTTCCGATGGTGCACTGCGATTTGGGCCATTCCCTCACACGAGAACCAGGACTCAGCACGTTGGACATTTCACCCTCCGCCTCGTTGAGCCCCGCTGGGTCCTTCCTCGGAAATCGCCGTGCGATGCTCAGAGGCTTGTTCAAGCCAAAGTCTCGCCCTTTCAACCCAGTGCCTTTGGATTTGGGACATAAGGTCACAAAAGGGTCTCAGTTCCAAGGTCCGAGAAAGGCATGCAGGCAACCCCTTCTCGGTGGTGGCAATCATGGTGGCCCTGCAACTCACTCGCGGCCTGTCCTGCATTCCCTGACAGCGGCCTGTTCGAGGCTGGACGTCTGCATCATCTTGAAGTAACGTCACCCACAAAATGGTTTTGAGCCACGAGGGCCAAGGGGTTGGCATTGGAGAGGCCATAACTTGGGTGATGGGAGATCCAGTTCCAGCTTTCTGGCTCCCAAAGCGCCGGAAAAGCGCATTCCCCGTGCTTCCAGCGGGTCCTCCTTTTTAGATGCATTAAGTGTTTGTTCCTTCTTTTCTTTTTTTTGGGGGGGACGGAATCAACCCACTTGTGGGGAGGCAAGCAATTTATGGGCCATGCACTTTCTACCCACCTCTGTCTGGCCATCACGGGGTGTACAGTCTTTGACGAGTTTGTACAAGGGCCGGCTGGATGGGCGCCGGAAACTTGGACACAATGGATATCTAAGCTGCCAAACCAATGCAAAAAACAGTCGAACAACCACTGGACAAAATAATTTAGATCAGCAACCTTTCAAACTGGCCCAAGCTCAGACCACACCCTCTATGGGGACGAAATACCTCCAAGAAAAAACCTGCACGTTCACGGGGGCAATCCATACATGTGTCCAAGAAATAGTCGTAAAACAAAACAAACCAGTCAGCCTGAATTTGGGAACCCAGCTCAATCACTTTTGCTGCCTCCAGACCGCCCCACCAAAGCGATCAACTGGGCTGGCGGACAGCTTCAACCTGCCGTCCAGCAGTCCGGCAGCCGCGTGGGGTGTCCTCGGTGGGGGCCGGGCAAGGGCAAGCAGGCGTTGGACCCGAATCTGCACAAATCAACACAAATCCAGGAAATTCCCCGGCGGAAAGGGGTGCCCCAAGTAATCAACCAAGGGGTTCAAGTCCCAAAGCCGGAAGCCGGGGCCCAAACCCACTGCAATTGGACTAGCTCAAACCAGGAACAAAGGTTACCTATAAACATCACCTTGCTAAACCAAAATGTGCTTTCACTTGGTCCCTAGGGTGATGTTCAAACCCACCAAGCCCAAGCCCCACTTTGCTGAACATGCATGCGGCGTTTGTTGCTGCGCCACTGGTCAAGCACACATCTACAGGTAGTAGTAGTAGAAGTAGAGTACTAGTACTGGTAGCAGGGGCAATGGTAGTAGTAGTAGTAGTAGTAGTAGCAGTAGCAGTAGCAGTAGTAGTAGTAGTAGTAGTAGTAGTAGTAGTAGTAGTAGTAGTAGTGATTTTGGTAGTGGTAGCGATATTGGTAGTGGTTGTGGTAGTGGTTCTGGTTGTAGTTATCGTTTTCGTGCTTGCAACAGCTGCAGAAGCAGCCGGACTTTAAAAGTAGGCGCAGTAGTAACACGAGATAACACGAGTATACTATAGTACATACAACACTACGTTCTGTACTATACTATGCTATCACCAATACTACTTCAAGTACGGATACTATTACTACTACTACTACTACTACAATAACTATTACTATTACTGTTACTATGGCTATGACTATTCCTATTACTATTACTTTTACTATTTCTACTACTATCACCATTACTGTTACTATTACTGTTACTATCACTATAGCTATTACTACTATATATTATTTCTACTACTATTACTATGACTGTTACTATTGCTATTACTATTACTCTTACTCTTACTATAACTAGTACTATTACCATTGCTATGACTGTTACTGTTACTGTTGCTACTACTGGCACTATTACTAGTACAACTCTTTTCCTATACTACTACTACATACTACATACTACATACTACATACGACATACTACATACGACATACTACCTGCTACTACTACTACTACTACTACTACTACTACTACTACTACTACTACTACTACTACTACTACTACTACTACTACTCCCCCTCCTCATCCTGCTGCTGCTGCTCATCTGAAATGCTGCCCAAACTCTTCATGATGCCCCTATCCAGCAAATTATTCAGCACACACGAAGGTAAACCGTGAGCAAGATCCCCCACTAGCCGAGGCCCATGCTTATCGCGGCTGGCTTGCTTCAAGATCTGGCGGGGCTGAGAGAACTAAAGCCGGGAGTTGGCGCCTGCCGTCAGATGTGTTCATGTTGGGGGGCCAGGATGAACATCTGCGGGTCGCACGAAGCCCTCCGTCTCCAGTTCGGGTTGGTCACTGCGTTGAGTCGGTGATGTGGGGCTGGTCTAAGTGACCTACAAGTCATAGTCAGAACCTGGTATTCGTAGTACGCCCAAATGCAGGATAAGAATCAGGAGGGTGTATGCCTCCCGTATTCCTGGCATGTCCCCTAGCCGGTGTTCAGAACACTTATAGGTCGGCACGCGCATGTGCCTTGGTCTCCACCAGCAGGTCGTACTCGGAGTCGAGGCCAGGCCGGGGATTGCCTGCGGCTGCATGGGAAAGGAGATTCAAATTTGTTTTTCAAGGGTCAGCAACAGCCAACTTTAACTCTGGGTCTGGAATACATTCATTCCAGAGAAAGGATGCCTAGAATTGGTGTGGCCCTTTGGACAAAAACGAAGTTGACAACATGGAGACCAGCAGGTAGCCAGTGAAAGAGGAATGGTTTTCCGTTGTGGTTGCTTGCGGGAGACCACATTCCAAGTGAAGGCTTCATCCCCACCGGGGGCCTTACAGTCATTCCGCCAACTGACAGCCGGAAAGTCCTCCGCCCTCATTTGAACGGGCTCATTGATCGCGGGCAAACAAGTGATTTCGGGCCGCGTCAAGAAGAATCTCTTCTTCTGGGTCGTTGCTTGGGAATGTCTTGCACCTTTGCCTCCAACTTTCGACTACAGAAACAATGATCATGGTAGACAAGCGTTGGGTCCCTTCACTTAAAGGCGAAAATATATGTTGTACGCCTCCCTTCAAAACAACAGAGCAGAAGCCCCAACGAATCTCCAGCTAATAGTCCTAGGCCCTGTCACTTTCTGCAGGCGCGCCCCAAGTGATCCAAAGGGTTGTTTGGGCCTGACTCTGGTCCTTGCTTAATCAGGTAGGAACCACGCCAACTACTAAATATGGTCCTTTGGGGAATCAGTTTTGGCATTTGCGCAAAACGTCGAACTATGCGTGCCCCCATGTTCACAACAAAGGTGGATGCAACCAAATAGGTCGACTTTTTCGGGGCAACCGCCTTTTTGGTCGGTTTAAAAGGGAAACCAAAAGGAAGACCATTTTGCAGGGGGTGTCTCCCCCCCAAAAAAACGACATATCCCCCAAAAAAGCCATCCACCTGCGTCTCGATCCACGTTTTTGGGGACACCCGGGCCGTCCAGGCACTGCTTCAGCATGCGCCGCAGCGTGGGGTCCTTGGAGAAGCGCTTCGCCAAGGCCTCCACCGTGGGAGGGGAAAGTCACAGGAGGTGGCATCAAGGGGGCGGTCCCCCACAACAAGGGGATGCTTAGTACACGAACTAGTTGCCCTGTAAGAACGATGGAAGGAGCCCGAGAAAATCTAATTCATACTCAGCACCAGAAAGTTAAGGCATTTGTTGACTCGTGCTCCGAATTTCCCCCGCCCCCCAACAAGTTGAAGCTGCTCTAGAATGGAACCCCCCTCAAAAGCGGGGAGGGATTGTATAAATCGACAAACCCAGGTTCCTGTTTTGTCTGGAATCCCCATTGATTTGTTCGGACGCCGATTCCTCGCGTTCAGCGCCCGCCGATTCCCGGCGCCCTCGACGTTCGACGCGCCTTAAGGAAGTCCAACGCCTCCGCCGGCGCCCTGGGCCGCGCCAGCGCCTCCAGGCCACGGCCGCGGCCTCGGAAGCGGAGGCGGCGAAACGAGGTCCTGCAGAGAGGTTGCACTCCCTAACATGGAAGCTCCCAGAAGGCCTCTTAAGGGGTGGGAGCTTCCATATTAGTCTGGGGGAGGTTCGAAGAAGGGTACCAACTTTTTTCGGTAGTCTATTTTAATTAGGGGAACCCTCCCAACCAAAAAAGGGTGAAAGGGCACTGCTGGGAGACCTAGGAAAGGTGTGTGGAGCTACTCGGGGGTTGGCTTTTCGTGGAGCTGATCCAGTTGGCTTGAGACAACCAGTCTCAAAACCAAACTTGCTGAAATCTCATAAATTGACTGAGTCTCAGATTGTGCTTGTGCGAAGCGTCAGATTGCAAGCGTCGGATTGGCTTGTGAGCTCGTTGCCTCGTGGTACGTAGCTGCAAGTCGTCGGATTGACTTGTGAATAAAATGAAGGCTTGAACTGTCACACAAAGCAGCTGGAAAAGAGATTTCGGAAAAGGCACTTCCCGGATATGCAACTCAGACACGGGATAAATGATAAACACTTTTGTCATGCAACAGTTGAAAGTTGTTTAGAAGCGCGGACTTGTTACCGGGCGTGATGTGATGCAGTTGATCTAAACCATGTGATATACAATGAAAAAACATGTAGACGTTGCGTCGAACGCGGTACTTTTTGCTGAACTAATTTGAAAGGAATACCGTGTGGAATTCGTGTCTTGAAACTTGTGGACAATTATTTGCTTGCTGCGGGATGTGATGCTTTGTTGAATGACGCTACATGAACATTGCGAAGACGCGACATTTTGCGAATGAAGCAACACGACAGCATATTGGCTTCCCGCCTTCAAACTTGTGAATTGTTGGCTTGTCGCATGCAAGTCCTTGTAGAGGATGCGGGATGAAAGGAAAGCCGGCAGATTCCAAAGCATTCGCGAGTTCGAGAGTTCGGGTATCCCATCCCCTGCTTTTGAAAGGAGGGCCTTCGCAAAACAATACACTCATGGTGTTGGTTGTTTGATGTTTTTGAACAACACAAACACATGCTGTTTGTTTTCAAGATTAATTCCACACGCCCAATGAATAAGGCTTTGAATGTTAATGGCGGTCGTCTGAAAACTGCGCAGTTCTTTTGCCATCGTGGCCGTCTCTGTGAAAGGGAGCAATCGTGCAACATAAATGCTGTTGTGCTTGGTGCTGATGCACTGGCAATTGGGAAGCGAGCGCGGGCAAGTCTGGCATTCGGCAAAACATCTTTTGAGTCAGGTTTGGATGGAAGGCGAAGTTCTCTGCGGGGCGTGCCAGAGCTCACTGGATACTATGTGATCCGTTTTTCTAGTGGGTGATGATTTGGTGTGAACCCGTGAAGGGAATATCATAGTCGTTCTGCAAGGCAAGTGGTAAGGTGGGGGTGCTGGAACCGAGGTACTGGACAGCTCTTCTGGAGGTACTGGATGGTGAAGTTTGCTGCGCGGGCCGTGGAGTTAACTGTAGCAGGGGGGGGAATGACTCACGCAGTTCGAAAGTAAAGCAGATCCAAGAAGATTGGGGACTCTTCAGCATGTTTCTTTCTAGAATCCGTGTTTGAAGCTTATCGATCTGATCGTTTCCTTGCAAGGGGGTGGACTAGACATCTGTCTGGCCATGGGCCAAAAATCCGTACCCCCAGTGAACATCCCAATCCCCACTAAAATAGGTTCGAAAATGGGCGGTTAGTTCACCTACCAACCAAAATGAGATCCCAAAACGGGATCCCAAAACGGTTTGACAACCACAGCCATCTGTGAGTCCACGTGTTTCAGTGCGAAGAGCGCTGCACGCTGCGTTAGCCGTCGCAACGGGCGGTGGAGTGCTTTGTGAAGGCGGGTGTGCAGCCAGACCCTTTTCCAAGAAGAAGGTGTGTTTTTTGCGGGGGGGGCTGGGGCTCAGGGGGCTCATCTTGCATTGAAGACTTGGTTTTCTCTTCTAGAGCTGTGTGGGTTTGCCAAAATGTTTGTTCAACTCCTATGTTGATGCTATGTTGCTTTCTAGAAATCGGGTTGCTCTCCGCTGCCGATGTCCCGCCTTGTTTTGATTTTGGCTGAGTTTTGTTGGCGCGCAGGTACGTAGGGCGGACGTGCTGGTGTCAAACGTGGGCAAGGGCGTGGATTGGTGTTGAACACGAGAGGTCGCAAGCAAAGCAAAGCGTTTGATTCTAAGTTGCGTTGCCAGGAATAATTGAGGCGCCGCCTGCGCGTCGACTGCTGTGTCCACGGCTTCGGTTGGGTGGACTCGTGTGTGCAAGGTTTGGGGCGCGTCGTTTGCGTCAGCGTGCTGCAGTGCAATGGGAGGACTGGCGTGCTCAGAAGAGCGCTCGCCAGGCCACGCTAGTAGATCGAACGTGGGCCGTGTTTCCACGCCATGTTTGTGGAAGCAAAGATGCTGTCACAAGTCAATCCGACTCGTTCACAATCCAATCCGCTGCTGTCACAGGCCAATCTGATGCTTTTACAAGCCAGTCGATGCTTCACAAGCTAATCTGATGCTCCATAGCACGAACAAGTCAATCCAATGCTTGTCACAAATCGGATTGACACCTAGCCCCAGGCGAAAGGCCACATTTGGCGGGTCAACTAAGGTCGAATGCCAAGTAAGGCCAAATTTGACAAGTGAGGTGAAATAAATAAGTAAGGAATCTGGATCAGGGCTTCCGGCTGGGCTGGAGGTTGAGCTAAAGGCTGGTGGCTGGTTGGGCCTGGGGTTAGAGGTGGAGCTTGCAGGTTGGATCAAGTCACTAGCCTTGCGTTTGATGACAGGAGTGGAACAATAGGCAATCCAAGGAACGCGCAGCCAGAAGGAGCCCTAGGGAAATGGGTCTGGAAGCCCCGTATATGTTGAGCAAACCTCGTAACTTTGTGCCATGGTGAAAACCTCCTTGTGTCGGCTGTACGGAGAAATGCGGTGTTTGTGCACCAGGTATCCTACTGGAGGGAGGATGACCATCTCTACAACCCCAACGCAAAATGGTGTTTGGATCATGTGAAGCCACCAGGTACTGCCTTGTTTGAAGAGGAACATCAGGTCTTGGGAGTCATGGAAACGAGTGACGAGCCCCGGGGGCCCTTGGCCACTTCGGCCCTGCCCTTGCCCTCGCCTCGGGGAGTGGTCGCCACCAAAGGCAGAGACGCCTGCGCCGACTTGCCCCTTGCGACTCCGATAGCCACGTCCTTCCCGGAGGCAACGCAAACCTCCACTTGCCCTGTGTCGGATATGAGCTTTTTGCACCCAATACAAGAGACTGTATCTGATAATGTATGTATATGTACAGGTTGGTACCCTCCAATTTCAAGGAAATGCACTGCGAAAAATCAAATGAGGAAAAAGCACGGCCAGCTCTTGGCCTTGGAATCCGACCCTTCAGGCTCGGTGAGCCTGAAACATCAAACTGGGATTTCGTTGAGCGCACAGCTTAGCCATGGGTTTTTGCCAGGGGTTCGTGTATGGACGTGCTCATTTAGCATTTGACACATGTCGGTTGGAACGAGTGGGGTTCCAACCTTGAAAAGGATTCAACAAGAACCCCCAAAAAAACCGTTGTTGTTTCCCTCCAATGCAGTTTCCAAACATGTCTATGCAGAAGCCCCACATGCTCAGTATTGCAGCATTGTCTGTTCCAATCCGCAGATCATACATCATACATACAAGTACTCACTACCGCTTGCTGATTTGCCAATGCTTGTTGGTTGGTTGACTTCAATTTGAGGTTCCCCCACCCGGAAAAAACAAAAGCAACAAGGTTTTCAACAAGCCCACCGGAGGTCATTCAGAAGGCACAACTTCTGCGGGTGTTTCTCCATCTTGAGAGAACACTTTTGGGATTTTGCAAAAAAAACACTTAAGCGGGAAAGACTCGCTTCTTTCGTTTTTGCTTTTTTGTTTTTGGGCGCTTTTCCCTTTGAGACAGGCCCAGTCAGGCTGGTGCTGGGTGGAGTTAGGGGGCGGGGGGTACATCAAGCAAGTGGACTGAGCAGCTTGGCCAAAAACCAGAATCAACCAAAGGGCCCAACACACAAGGGGACAAAGGGCCCTGAAGCAATACGCAGGGACCTGTGGTTTGTGGTAAACATCCGGTTTACGTCTTGAGTGATGCCTTGAACACGTCTCCCTAAGATGAAATCACACACATCATCATGTTTAACAAAGCATAACTCAGTCCAACCAAATAGCTTCTCCCCTGCAATCACACGATAACAACAAAAGCGGGTCCTAACATCGAGATCTCTTTAAAGTCGGGCTGTGTCTCGGAATGTTGCATGGTATTCTGTGTGCTTCATTCAACCCGCGGCCCTTCTTGAGGGCCTCCACCTTCGCCCCGGCATCTGCCCGACTCCGCGTGGCGACTTTTCTTCGGCTCACTTGGCTAAAACGGCTGCGCGCGGGGGGTTCGTCGCCTGGGCGCGGATTTGGGAAAGGTTTTGCTTTGTGAGTTGACTTAGGGAAACACCCAAAGAATAAAACAAGGGCGCTGGGTGTCTGACTGAGCCCCTGAATGGCGCCTTTCGGATTAAGGACGCAGGAAGGACGCTGAAACCCATGAATCCCAGGAAGTGATGGGGATGGGAATCCCATTTAGGTGTTGGCACACCAACCAGAGTGCTAAAGCCTGTACCCTTCAAGTCTCCGAAAAACACAAGCAGCATTTCATCGTAGTCTATTATGGCTTGAAAAGGACATGGGCTGTGTTTTGAGGCCACTTTCTGAAACCAACGGAATCCCCTTTGAAGTGATTAAAAAAAAGAAATAGTGATGGGGATGGGAATCCCATTTAGGTATTACATAAATACTCATGTTCGACACATTTGTACCGATTGCCGGTTTTATCAAAGGATATCTTTAGGATTTTTAGGACCTAGTTTTACACATGCAATTCATGTTCACTGAAATTCCAAACATATGATTCAAGAAAGGGGTTATGCGTCCCTTTAAAGGAGACAATCAAGGCCCAGTATGATGGACCCATCACACTCTGAATGGCTGGGTCTCCAATCAGGCTGCATTTGGCTCGATTTGAATCCAGGACAGTTCAAGAGCCGATCCGTTTCCTTGGAGTCACGCCTTAAAGAGATGGATCGGATACCTCCCACCGGACCGCCCAACGTCAAGCTGAGGCTCGTGGAGGTACGTCCCGCCGGCCACCAGCGGCACAGCGGCCAGTACCGACAATCTGGCGGCGGAAGGCGGGGGCTCGGCCACCCATGCCCAGCCGGGTGCATGGCCATCAAACAAAAAAATGGGCAGTAGATACCTCCGTTGATCTTAAAGACTACCTGTTTCAAAGCGGTTGTCTGGGCTCGCATTGCAATGATCTGCAGCAAGTGGCGACATAGCTGTGACCAAATGAACACGACTTTGTGCCGAGGTCACTCACTGTCCAAGCAAGCTGTTTCTGTCAACCCATGCTTAGTTCTGGACTACATTCCAAAGCGTACGGGCATTTGAACCAATCCCTTGTTGCTGAACACTTGCGTCGGTATTTCTTGTGTGGTTGTGGCGGTCCTGTTGATTTGCGGTTGGGTGTCTGCCAATCGGCGGGAATTCTTGCCGCAATACAGTTCGGCAAACAAACCAACCTTCACAACACACAACGCATGTTGCTTTTGCTTGTCTTGAGTTCACAGCATTGCGGCATTGACAAATTCAACATGTTCGCAAGGCTGTGTTGACATGATCACTGATGTGCAAATTAAGCGCCCGTTTTGTGGATCCACAGGACTGTGTCAAAGGAAGCAGAATTGGCATCAACGTGCTTCTTGCCACGCCGTTTCCACTGTGTAACTAAAGTGAATATACGAGTGCCAAATGTTGCCAAGATGACTTTGAGCACGAGGATTCGTGCCCTGCTACTCCCTCAAAGGCTTCTGAACAGGGTCACTTACAACAAGGAGTGTCTTTCCGGCCACGACTAAACAAATGCAGCATATATGCAGATGCTGGCAAATCTATTTCAAAAGATTCACACTTTACCGTGACTAGTCCCCTTCAAAGACAGACAGCATTTGGGGGCATCTCTTGGGGAGTCAAAGACTCCTTGAACGTAGAGTACTTAACAGTCATCAGCGTTTCCATTCGAACCCAGCCAAGAAAAAACCTGTAGCTGGAAGCTCACGGAACATGCCGGCTTTGCGACAGGTTGGTGCCCAGCAAGGATTGTTGCAGCCTGAGTCTTTGAGGCCCGGAGGCCCACTTGGGGCTTTAAAGGCAAGCCAATCGGAAGCCGCCTATGAGGGTTTCCGCCTAAGCTAGATCCCCAACTGCAAGTGAACTTCAACCTCCCACAACCAAACCCTCATAAAAGGCGACTAAACACAGGGCTGTCCTTCCCCTGTGCCAAATGCTCCCTCTGTACCCTCCTGCACGGAGGGGGTGGAGGGCGGTGCTTAGGATCCGCCGTAAGGAACACCCTCTAACTCCTATTTCAATCCGGGGTTGATAATTTCCGCCGAAACATATCCACGGAACTCCTCAAAAACTTGGGGGCCGACTTGCGACAGACCTTGTTGCAACCCCCTTTGTGCAAATCAGTGTGACATGGTGCGCGGCCGTTAAGCCTTTCAGACTCAAAAACGTGAAACATAGCCCGAAGTTCACCGTGGGTCAAAACCATAGTTCAAGACCTGCAGGCTAAGGCTAGGGCTTGTCTTGGGTCACCGGCAATGACGCCGCTTGATTGCTATGCCGCAATTCATGTCGATGTGAGTCACAATCAAAACCCGGTATTACGATGGTCTACCCAGAAGGCGGCCGCAGCTATTTATGGCTGGGATTGTCCCTTGCTAACCTTCATCTGCCCGGGTTTTGATTGTGGCTCATGTGTGCCAGGCTCTCGGCATTGCGAATCAGTGTGCGATGCTTGCGTGCCGCTGGCATCCATGGCCAATGCACCCAATTCGCGTACTGCTGGCTCACCGCCACTCTACCCACATCTGGGTAGAGCGGCAAGAAATATTTGCAGATTCTGCTCTTTAGCTTAATTACCCTAAAGTCTAACCAAAAAGGGAGGAGACCTCAAACTACTCTGTGTCAGAGGCTTGCGAATTGATTTCAATCCAACCTTGGAGCTGCGAAGCAGGGGCTGGGGGGGGGGGGCTTCTGGTCTCAGTGTAACTGAGAGGACAAAGGACTGGGAGGACCAAGGTTGATCCAAGGGAGCTGCGTGAGCAACCAGGTGTTAAGCAATTAGCGGGTCAAAAAGTTCAACAGTTGCCCACCTTTTGGCTTTGCGTAAATTACTGCGGGCTCTAAAGAGCACCCGGGCAAGAGTTTCTTCAAACACCGAGCCTGGTGGCTGTTTGCTCCGCTTGCCTCAGCCCGCGTTTCGGCCACTCGGTCAGAGCCCGCTTTGCAAATACATTACCACAGCGCCATAAGCGACTGTTAGATATATTTTATTATATTTCCCACCCAAACATTACACCAAAGGACAAACCATACCTGCTCAATATTGTCAAGGGTGGCAAATAATGAAATAAAGGGGATTACGAAATTGTACATGCCGGGTTGATCCTTTCAACAGGAAATCTGCTTGAACCCTTGTAGACACCTACCACGAATTTGCGATTTGAGCGAGCCCAACAATAGTTTCCTCGAAGAATGAGGGTCTTTCGGTTGCCATCTTTGTTTGCAGCAGAGTAGACCCCTTCTTGGTTGGTATTAGTTGGTATTGAAAGGGAAACCAAATGGAAGCCGGCCATTCGTTGACCTCTAGAAAAGTGTATTTGAACATGGCATATGCTTTCCTACATCTGGGCCCAATTCCCGCACTTTGGCCGCCCGGCAGACAAGTCAGAAGCAACCCGCAGATAGTGGCCATCACTTTCCGCACACCGCCCGCCTAAGCTCGACGACGGGAGCGCGGTTTTCAGGTGGAACTCGGGACACGCAAATGAACACGAGTTGCCCCAAGAGGGGGTCCCCCACAAGAAACATCTTTCATGGGTTGCCCCAAAACCAGAATGCTGATGGATGCTGAGCAACACACGGCTGCTGTGACGATGCCCACCACAATGCCGGCAAGGCCCTGTGAGATCACCTCAGGCCAAACAAATCGAAAAGGGTCTGGTGAGGTGAATGACTAGGCCACCAGCGCCACTAAGGCCACAGGCAATGACTCTAGTACAGAAACCATCTA